AACAGAACGCAGTAATAAGTTATCAGGGCAACCCCATTGAGACGGGGCGGTCAGGGAAGCCCTGGCTGCTGGATGGACAGCTCAGATCTGAAGAGTGAGAGGAGCTAACCGTGTGAAGAGCAGAGAAGAGCGCTCTAGGCTCCGGGACTGATATGTATGAAGCCCTTGAAGAGAGGCTGAGGAATTGATACTCGGCCACAGACCACAGTGAGCAAGGGGGGCTGGGGATGAGGGCAGGGTCTGGATCACCCAGGGCCTTGTAAGCCAAGCTGAGAAACTGATTTTATCTGGAGGCCAGTGGTTAGCCATTGCAGGATTCTAAGCAGGGAAATAATGCAATCAGTGTTATCGCAGAAAATCTTTTTATTCCCAAACCAGAGAGCACAGATTTTACTATCAAACCCCCAGCACAGGTGATGAGGGCAGGTGGCATACCACTCCTGAGGGTACTTGAAGATGTCAGGATCACTCCTGCTTCCTCTAATGAGGCTAGGATTGGGGATGTGAGGAGGGGAGCTGAAGCAGTTGTGTTCACTGTAGGTGCCATGTGAGCATGGGCAGTGAAAGGAGCATATGTCCAAGAATAGCCTCCAAGGGATAGGATGCTATCAAAGATGAGTCTGGGATGTGGTTGACATAGGCAGGTAAGGAAGGCAAGGAAGAGAATTCTGAGTAAGAGGGAGCAGAATAGGCAAACATTCTGAGGCGTATGATGAATATTAAAAGTAGTTTAGTGTGGTTACAGCATGGCGTGTGCAGGGGTGAGGAGGGAGCAGGAGTGGAAGACGTCCACGTAATATAGCGCAACGAAGGGAAAGCTGGATGATGAAGAGCATCTTACGCCAGGCAAGGACGTCTGTGCTTCATCTTGAGGACAGTGGGGAGGAGCCACTGAAGAATTTTAGGTAAGGTGGAGTCCTAATCAGAGTGGCATTTTAGAAGAATCACCAGGAAGGAGTGCAGCAAAGCCCGTTGCGGGGAGGGGTCCAGATTTCAAGAGGGGAGATAAGTTAGGAAAGCAAAGCTCTAATGCAGCCATTTGAATGCAGCCTGAATAAAGAGAAACAGTTGAGCTGGAGGAAAGTTTGCTCATTAGAGGAATATTTAATATAATAAATTGACAAGTCGATGAAAAATTAAATTTGGGAGCTGAGAGGGAGATGGAGGAGTCATCCGACTCTGACTCTGCCCCCAAATTGTTGCTTAAACCGCTTAAGGGAGATTGGCTTTGATTAAACCAGGGGACACAGAAGGAAGGGAGAACACCAGAAAAGACGACGTGTATCATATTAGACATTTTTAGTTGTGGTCCCTCTGGGCATCCCAGAGGGAGCATTTGCTGGGTGGTTGGATATTAGACCTGGAACTCGTGAGTGAGAAATCAGCCGGAAGTAAGGGCATGCCCTTGGAAGTCCTCAGCCCTGGATGGTACCTGGAGGCATGAAAAGAGGATAGATCACCCAAGGGATTATAAAGAGTGAGAAGAGGGACAAGGACAGATCTCGGAGAGACTTCAGATATGTAAGGGACAAGCAAAGGAAGAGAACCAGCTGGAGAGGAGGCCGGAAAACCAGAGTATCATGTCCTGGAAAAAGGGAAAGAGAACGAAGGAGTAAGAAGTGGTCAAGTGGTACAAAATGCAAGCGTTCAAGTAAACTCAAGGCCATTGGAGTTATCGGCCCAGAGGGTGGCATTCCTCCTGTGGGAGTTCCAGGAGCGTGGGCGGCAGGGGCCAGGAGGTGAGGAAGCTTCTTTTCCAAGACTTTCTCTTACTCTGGAAAGGGGCGCAAATGTCTCCTGTTAGACCATGTATTGTGATTTTCGGTTTGAAATTATGGTCACCATGCTTCTGGGAAGCCTGTGACTCCAAAGAATTAAATGATTGATGGAGAGGAAGGGGCGTGTGGCGATTCAGGGGTGCTGTTTGCATTTAAGATTGTAAGAAGTAAAGTCTGAAAAAAATCTCCCGTGACTCTTAGATTTGTTTTAAGCTAGAAATTAATTTCCTGTGATGGGAAGGGAGAGGGAAGTATTTATCAATCACCTGTCATTTTGTAGTGCTCAGGAGTCTTATGTCTAATCTTCAGAGCAGCCTGTGAGGTGAAAGTATTAGACCTGATTGTAAAAAAGTAAGCCAGGCCTGGAGAGGTTAGTGTGCCTGATCACCCCGTGGCACATGTGAAGTCACTTTGTGGCTGCTGAAACTGTATTTTCTTCATCACACACAATGGGACTAGGACAGGAAGAATTCTTCCTCCTGAGAGAGCACATACGTGCCTGGAGTTCGTGAGGGGGAGAATGAGCCGCTTGAAACAGTTAATCTGTGATGCTCAAGCTGGAAGAGGGCAGACCGCCATTGGAGAAGGGATTGATAAAACACACAAATGAAACAAAGTCAGAACCAAAAAAGGCATTGTGCAAGTTTAAATTATGTGAATAATGATGTGCATTCGTTATTTTAATGTTTTTCAAGTGCACTTCATTTTGGATAATATACTCAGATAGCACACATGGTGAGGTGTAATTGAAACAACATGCAGGAGAAGGGGTGCGTTCAGAGAACAAATATCCAGCTGCGAGGAGGTTAGGAGTCAAAGCGGGTGAGCATATGCGCCCTCCCCGGGGATCTCATTAGTGCGGGAGGGATTGTAAATGTGGAGGCTAAATGAATCTCGCTGTTTGCAAAGACCCGCAGTAAATGAGACAATGACAAATCAATAGCAATTAGGCCTATAGGTTCTTATTGACCCAGATGTCTGAAACCAAATGTCCTGCTCCGAGATTCCTTGAGAGGCAAAGAAAAGATTTATAGACACGCGCTTCTTTAAAAAAAACAATCCCTTACTCTAAGTGCAGTGACGCTGGTCTGAAGCGGGTGCTGCTAGAATTAGGGCAGACTCTCGACTTCGGGCTAGAAAGGATGTTCTCATGGCTTTTGTTGTCAGTGTGGTTCCTGTTGGACCAGGAGCAGAGAGAGGTAGGAAATAGGAAACCAGGATGTGACCCTGTTCTACCCAGAAACGTGGTTCTGGCCCTGCCTTCCATGGAGCCCTTCTTAACGTTATCCTAAAATCAGGCTAAAACAGGGTTTGAAGGTGGGGCTGTCACAAATCATTTCTGACTTGGGATACGGATAGCATATGGCTTCAGCATGACACAGAGGAGGGTTTGAATTTGGACGTAGTCACGTGTCTTCGCCTCTTTGAGTATCTCCCTGAAAAGGGATGGTCACGGTGCCCGCTCGCCGGCTGTGGCTGAAGGCCTGGTGCACACTCTGGGAGAAGCAGCTGATGTTGCTGTGGTTGGGGAGCCTTGTCCCGCAGTGTCGTCCTAATGTGAGCTAAGGCAGAGATTCCTACAGATGGGAACGAGGGGTCACAGAAAGAAGCCAAGAGACGGCCTCTTAGGTAGACCCGCCCTCGCCTCCGCCACACACGTCACACACACACACTCACACGTACGCTCACTCGTGCACTTACATAGAGCTCTTTTACTTTTCTATAGTTTATATTTTGGAGTTCCATACAAAAAAACAATAAAATTTTTATGTAATAAAAGAGCTTGAAAACCACCGCTCTACTTGTTTGTTTCTTTAAACTTAGTTTAGAGAACTTTCGGGAAGTTGATGGATTCAGAGGGACACTCAGAGTGTGTCGAAAGACTAGAGCTAGAAATCGCTGAGCCGTACTCCTAAAACATTTTTTAAATATGAATAATAACTATTATCTTAAGTGTCTTAGATATTAACCTCCTGTGGACATTGATGTCCTATACTTTTTTCTGCCATCATTCAAGCCATGTTTTTAAGCTTTAAAGCTATCGTTCCAAAGACACCAGTGGGCAGTGGCGTGCGTGCCCACCTCTGGTATACCCACTTTCTTCTAGAATCATTGGCGCTGGACTTTGAGAAGGAAACACCTCTAAAGCAGGGAAGGGTAACCAACTTTAATGTTTGTCCCATGCAGTGCGATTTAACCCAGTGAGGTCGGTGGTGGTAGACCCATTTGATGCATGGGAAAGCAGAAGTTCAGAGAGGTGAAGTCACTGGCCCATGTTACCCAGCTAGGACAGACAGCACCAAGATCTGACCCCAGGACTGCCTTGATCACCAAGCCCATGACCTCTGTCCCCCTTTCAGCTGGACATGTACAGCTGGGGGAAGTGGTCTGACACCCTCATTCGACACGTGCAGAAACTGAGGCTTAAAAAGGAGAAAGGACTAATGCAATGTCCTTTGGTGGGTTTAGGCTGTGAATCAGGTCTCCTACTCCTGACCCTAACTGCGTTCACCCTTTTCTGTCACTTCCCTTGGAAACTCCTATCCTGAGTCCAGGAAGTTATGTTTGTCTCCACTGGTCACATCATTATTACTACAATTAGGAGTACCGATTCTTTAAAAATCCTTTACGAATGTACAGTATTGTATAGTTTACAAAATGCTGTATCTTCACATCCATGGTTTCCTTTGATCTTCACAATAACCCTGTGAGGTAAGCTGGACAGGGATTATGATATCTGTTTTTACAGATGCAAAGAAAGTCGTTCAGAAAGTGGTTACACACTTATGAGGGGGTAAAGAAACCCTACGAGGGGTTTCTGGACCTGGTCTTCTGATCCCAGCCCTTCCCACTTTCCACTGGGACATGCCACCTCGTCGTAGTAATAATACAGTGTGATTTGAGAGTATGCCGCTTTCTGTGGCTTTGGGGGAGTTTCTTTGCTGAAGCTTTTGGGACCCTGCTTACTTTCTGGATTTGATATGGAAATACAAATGGTTTCTTTCTGCAAAACAATTTGCTCCCTAGCCCTACCCCCCTTTTAAAAACAGAATCTACTTCTCTTCCAGATGCCAGAGTGTATATGCATATTTGAACAGTCACCTGGATCTGATTAAGAAGGCGCAGCCTGTGGGTTTCCTCACTGTTGATTTACATGTTTGGCCAGATTTCCATGGCAACCGGTCTCCCCTAGCAGATCTGACACTAAAGGGCATGGTAAGTAACAGCCAGTCCTTGCACGAAGAAGGCAGACCAAATGACTGCACAGCTTGGGAGAAGCCAAGTGAGGGGAGGGAGAGAGGAAAAATAAACAAAACCGGCCAGCAGCCCCCAGCTTCTTGCACGTGCATTGCCGTCTGAAGGCTGCTGCTGCTGCCTGCGCTGATCTGCTGAAAGTTCTCGTCGTTTCTCAGCCAGTCTTGAGAGCCTTCAAAGCAGTATTTCGTACATTTAGCTCCTGCAGCCTCTTTGTCCCCTGTAGTGGCTGGAAGTCGTGAGCTCCTGCCTGTGTACTTCTTGTATTTACATCAGTTCGTAGAGGCATGTTTTCCACCTCCATTCCCAGGCCACCTGGTAAATAAGTGGTAAATATTACCTCTTATGGTCTTGCTTCCCACAGCCACGCATCTGTCTAGGCTCTGAATCAGGGCTCTTCAGAGTACCTACTAACATTATTAGGGTTTCAGATTAAACTTCGGTAAAAGTAAAATACAATTAAGAACTTAGGTTGGTGGATAAATTCAGCTCTTAATGACCTTTAGAGTCACTTCCAGTGCAGCGATTTTGGGACCTCAGGAGGGCCAGGGTGAACTTGGTAGGGGAGCCGCCCACCACCTAAGCTAAGGGAGTGGAGACACGGCGTCCTGGTGGCCAACTGAGACTGGCGGCTGAGAGCAATACAGCCACAAGACTCATGTTTGAGGATGGACGGAGCATGAGAAAGCTAAAGAAAAAAGCTAAGCCTCAGTTCCAAGGGACTACAAATAAGAAAATAAACCACGATTTCAGAATCCAGGAAGGTGTCAAGAAGTTGAGAAGCAGAGTGTGAGGCAAATTAAGGCAGGAAATTCAGAATGGAGGCTGCGAGCTGTGTACGATCTATGCACTGCGTGACAGTGGGGCAGGCCTGCTGGCTTGAAGGGCTTCAAGACTCAAAATTCTAGGGTTTGTGGTTAATTTTATTGAGGTTGTTTTAAATATTTGTATGATGCCAACAGGAAAACCTGATCTTTATTTTCATTACCTAGTGGATACAATCAGCTTCGCCTGATAAAAAGGAGTCATGGTGAGAGAAAAGAAAATTGGACAAAGCAAAAGTTCTATCTGTCTGGAGTCCATGAAGCACACCCATACAGCAAATAATAAGCTCAGCCTCCCTTTTTGGCCTGTGGAAGCAGAAGAAGATTGTCCAGAGAGGGCTGTGTGGCCACAGATGGCAACTAGAAAGCAGTACATTCAGATAACTGTCTCTCTGGGTGCAAACAGAGGTTTGGGGAAGAACACTTTTCATATGAGTGCAAAAGTGAGTGTCTTAATTAGAGACAAATATATGAAGTCAAATATAGTAAACACTGAAAATGTTAAAGAAGTTAAGAAGCCTGGCCAGTTCATAAAATGACCCGGAACAAAGCAGGGTTGTATAGTATAATGTTGGTGGCTCTGGAGGTCTTCCCTTGGGTCCCTCCCTTGCCAACATCTGTGGTACCCAGCTTCAGCACCCAGCGTGGCAGGTGCCGTGGCTCCCAGTGACTTTTGTCTGTTTTTTAAAACCAAACCTGACACCCAGAGACTCAAGAATTTCCATCAGAGGATATTCTAGTAAAGGTAACCCACACGCAGAATGTAATTCCAAAGGAGTCAGTGAAATGTTTTGAAGAATGCCTGACTCATTAGAATAAGTACATAGTCGCCAAAGGAGACTTCTTGCCTGGGGACATATGCTCCATTGTATTGAAAATTCTAGTAAGTTTACTTTTTTAAAAAGCTTTATTGTTTTACAAACACACCTCATATATTGCCTGATATTTCTTAGCAGCAATTTCCCTTCATGACCGTCCTTGTGTTGGCTTCTGTCAGAATAGCTGTCCCTCCGTGAATTTGTGGCACACCGCTGGAAGGAAAAGGTGACCTAGATAAGACAGAAGGAAGGAAACTCTGGGCTAAAATTTTCCCCCCAAATCTTTTTCTCTCAATCCAGTTTTGGGTGACATCAAAATAATCACCCTGAAACCTGTCTGTTGCCACATTACCCTTTTGCAGCACCTGCCGTGACTGCTGTCTCCAGCACACGGGGAGTGCATGCCTCTCCGGTCCCTCCTGCATGCCAGGCCTTGCTGCCGGTGCCGGCAGGGCCACCAGCTCTTACACTCCTGGAGCATGTTTCAAGGGAGGGGACGGAAGTGCTGGATAAAGTGCTAAGTTTAAAAAGTACCTAGCAAGGAGGATGATGAGGGTGCTCCCAGCAGGGCACGACCCACATGTGACTGCTTCTTTGGGCTCCTGAAACAGCGCTCTGGGCACATGCGGAGTGCTTGATGTGTACTTAGTGATAATTCATAATCAACAAGGGGATAATAAAGAGGTCATCTGTTGTTAGAAAAAGTATACAGCTGATGCTAAATGGATTAGATTGCTAGTGACTCTTACTATCCATTTGATAAGTATTTACTGCCAGCATTAATGTCCAGGTACATTAAGCTAAGAAGTTCCTATTTTACCATAATTATGAGTACATTTTTCATCAATTAATAATGTTAACAAATTCAGGCCACTATAGTTGGTGGGGGATATGAGTGACTAGACACAATTCCAGGCTTCAGGAATATTACTGTCTTTGGAGACAGATAGAATGTATAAACAGACAGTGGGGATACAGGGTCAAGCTCCAGGTGCCGCTCGCTGTCCCGGGCTCCTCGATGCATGGACGATGATTGCACAGCCAGTCTCAGTGGCCAGGAGAGGCTTCAGGTAGGAGGTGACATTGACACTGTGTGAGGCAGGGAAGGGGTTTTGGGGCCGGGGAGATCCCAGTGTGTGCAGAGTTCTAGAGCGGAGGAGGTAATTATTGTACCTTTGTGAGAGAGAGAGAGAGTGTGTGTGTGTGTGTACATAGTCATTACACAGTGTGAGCCCTGTACCGGAGACATCTGTGCGAGCTGAAGAAGGTGCTCAATAAATGTCTGACTTTGAATTTTTTTTAGGGGTCATTTAAGTGGCAAGTTCTCATGCAGCCTTTCTCTGCTTCACTTGAAAATACCTATGAAGATGCAAAAAAAGCATAAACTGATGCTAATTTTGACAATTAAGATGACATTCAACAAGGAAAAATAGGACTGACATTCTCAGAGAGAATCTGGGAAGATTTTCCAGAATCTAAAAGACTAAATGTAATTGGTTTGATAAACATAATATTGACACATGAACAGAGTAAGCTGCCAGCCTTGCACGAGTTTGGACGTCTCCGCTCTCCGCTCCCTAGCTGAAAAATGCAAGGTCCCTTTCAGTCTGAAAACAGAGCAGTCATCCCTCTGCTGCTGACAGTTAGGGTTTTGTTTTGCTTTCTTTTGTTTTTTAGAAGCAGCCAGTGAGTTTAATTTCCCAGAACTCCTCCACAACCCAGACCTCATCTTCCCTTTCAGTTCAATCCATTAGAAAACCGCCAAGCGAAGGAGCCAACTGGGCAGGAAGTCTGACTGAGGAGGAAAGGGGATACCCTGCATGCTAAGGATCCTGAGTAAAACTCTGTAAAAGGGCCGGAGATAGGAAGAGCCTGCAAATGTGGAAGGCGGCTATAGTTTTGCAGTCTGCTGTCTGTCCTAGGGTTGTGAAGCCGGGCCGTGGTGGTCTGCCTCAGGACCACAAAGCTGTCCAAAATAGAGCCCTCAGCTCTGGGATTGGCAGCTACTGTAGATCTGAAGAGGCAAATCCAAGTTACCATGAGGGGGGCGAGAGTAAGTCGTGTGTACCCTGTGCTGGGAATCCCTGAACATGTATGGCTCTCTAGTTAAAGTGAGCAAAACAATGATAATAAAGTCAGTCCGCTAGGAAAAACATGCTGCATACAAAGAAAAAGGAATATTTTCAGCATTTAGGGAAAGGCCTCTTAAAAAGTTGTTTACTACTAAAACCAAAAGAAACGATTAAAAACTCCTTGCCATATTCAATAGGTTGCTTTTTAGGGACACATCTCTACAAAATAGGGCAGAAACAGGAAAAAATGAGTTCCGATGAAAAGGCAATGAAATGAGAAGAAAAAGGAAATGATAAAGACAACTAAAAATCCAATAGCAGGGTTAAAATCTGCATGAAAGGCAATAAGAAACAATTTTTACTAAAGAACAGAACATCAGAGCTATCATAAGACATAGCATATATTTTAAATTTATTAGAAAAACATTTTGAGGGTAGGGGCTATGGTTTATTTGCTTTTTTAGTTTCAACAGTGCTTGGGTCAGAGCCGGGCACTGAGTAATTGCCTTACGGTTCAGTAATTATTTCAGTCTTCATTTGTCAACAGAGGAACAGACGGTGACCTGCCCAAGGTCACGATGCCGAGAGATGCGGGCGCTTAGCTGACCCATGAATCCCGACTTTCAGGATGCATACCCCACGAGGCTGCTTGCCTCGTTACTCGGGACTTCATAAAATGCACTCAGGACTGTAGAGCAGGAGTCCCGGCAGCTCCATCCTGCGTGGGGTGATGCTGACCTGGCAGCCTCGGCCTCGCTACCCTGTTCTGACCACCAGGCTTCTCACCTGCTGGCCGTTTTCACTTTTACACTGGTCTTTGGATTTGAGTTCTGACGCCATCTCTCCTCAGTGCTGGTTCTAGCTTCCTTCCCGGCCTCACTGACTCAGATTTCAAAAGTCATCACCACTCCTGCTTTGACCTGGCTCCAAACCCTTCCACTCCAGGTGCCTACCCTTGTCATCAGGAACAGGGCGTAACCAGGAATCCTTCCCTTATGCCTGATAAAATCATTTTCTTTTGTTCTGGAAACAGTTGGCTCCCTGCCGTGTGATTGGCTGCCTCACTACTCCTTTGGTGATGCACATTGATCTAGAGTACTGGGTAAAAAGAGGTGGAGCTTAGGGGGTGGGCACCTCACTAGTCGACCTGGACCAAGCAGCCTCCTATGTGAATGTTTCTCCTCCCCACTTGGTAAGTGAGGCACAGAGAGGTAAGGGCTGCATACGTGATATTTAAAAGAAGCAGAAGCTTGGGGAATAGCAGTATCAAAACGTTTAATGCTGGTAATTCTAGGTTCTTTAAAAACAAAGCAGAATGCTTACTTTTAAAGTAAAGAAACATGACATGGTGGCACAAAGATGGATGAAACTACATACCATCAGGAGTGGTTGCATGTTTTAGATTCTTGTGTGTGATTGTTTTTATTTTGAGTGGTTGGTTGGATAGTTTTTACCGCTGTCAAACAGTAAACAGAGCCCAGGTTTTGAAGTCAGACTTGTGTTTGCCTCTTGGCTTAGAAATGTACCAGTTATGTGACCTTTGAGGTTGGCTCTGTGAGGTCAACGTGCTCATCAGGAAGCAGGGACGCCACAGGCTTCCTTGCAGGTCACTGTCAGAATCAAATGGGGAGACTGTCACATAGTGGACAGACGACAAGAGCAAATGCTTTTGAGTCTGTAGCTCCTGCTTAGTGGCCCTTATTTGCATGTTTACAAGATGGCCAACCAGATTCTAAGTGCGGCCTTTGAATCCTGGACAGCCAGTATGAGCCATCCACCTTAGGCCCGGGACTGACTGGACTTAGTCACCAGCCATGAACAACCAGCTAGAGAAGCTGAACAGTCATGAGGTCCATCACGGGAACCCGGTTTCATACAGGGTAGAGACTAGTCTTGTCCCTGTTTAAGTCCTTGGCCCTCAGTTTCCTCATCAGCACAACAGGAAACTCAAACTTGGTCTGCCTTACAACACAGCTCGTGCTGTAGGAATTTTGAAAGCCTTGTGTGTATGACCAGTTTCTGTTCTCAAATTGACATGACCTCTTTGTTTTGGTGAGGTTTTTAAACTCTTTTCCTGAAATACCCACTCAAAGAAGTGAATTACCTCAGAGACAGATCAGGCTGTGAGGACGCACCATGTTCACTATCAGCTGAATCATGTTTTCTCTGCTTCATTTTGCAAGGACAGTACTACCTGGGATGGAAAGTCATTGTTTGCTTCTTGAAGAACTGTGATCTCTTTCATAAGGCCATGTGCTGCTCTAACTGCTGGGGGGCCGAGCGCTGCTGTAGCAGCCCCTTCAGAGCGAGCACAGGGCTGGCGGGGCGCTCAGGAGACAGGCATTAGAGGTCCTCAGCCAGTTCCCAGAGGACTGGACCCCGGCTAGGGATGGGCATCGCTAAACAGAGTGAGCTGTGGATGAAGACAACAACTCCAATGAGGATTTGCAAGAGCTCGGGAGAAGCCAGAGATTGTATCCCTGTGGCTTCCTCTGGTGGGAAGATGGATGATGGAGCTGGAAGCCCCTCAGCTAATTAAAGCACCTTTTGAAAGATATTTTATAAGCCTTGGAAACACGTTCCTCTTTGACATGAGTTTGTTGATGTTTTTGTTATGATTTAATGCTGTTTTATTTAGCCTTTTTTTTTTTTTAGGTAAGAACGATTGGCCCTGAGCTAGTATCTGTTGCCAAGCTTCCTCTTTTTTGCTTGAGGAAGATTGTCACTGAGCTAACATCTGTGCCAATCTTCCTCTATTTTTCATGTGGGACACCACCACAGCATGGCTCGATGAGAAGTGTGTCAGTCTGCACCCAGGATCTGAACCTGCAAACCCCAGGCCACCAAAGTGGAGCATGCGAACTTAACCACCATGCCACCGGGCCAGCCCCTATTTAGTTACTTTTTGCATATTGTTTTTGCCTGTGAAAAATTGAATCCTATAACAGAGCTTAATATCCTCAGTATCATTTAATGGGTTTTCTGTTAATGTGTTTTCTTATTGAAGCAACTAATTCACCAGCTGGTATTGTGATTTATAGTAGGTACCATTTTTTCAGGGACCATGATGTGCCAGGCTCCGTGGTAGATGGCTCTACATGCATCGTCACTGACTCTCACAATAACCCTGCAGGACAATGTTGTTGCCTCGTTTAAAAGAATGGAGAAACTGAGGCTCAGAGTACTCATTACCCAGTAATTACCATAAGTACTCTACCCCGAGGAGAAAAGACCAAAAGTGGTATTAGAACCTGGTCAGTTCAAACGGAAGTCACTGACATTCTTTGGTAGGAAAAAAAATTTAATAAAAAACTAGATTTTTGTATTTTTCGCACTTCTGCTCTGTTTTTAATGTGTCTCTAATATTTCTCCCTCATTTAGTGATTTTTTAAAAATTATATTACAGAATCAGACTTTTCTTTCTTAGTGCTTTTTGTCTTCCCTACATACACCAAACAATATGTAAAACTGGAGTGGGAAGTAGATGCTGGACAGGAGCCCTCCCCAAGGTAGAGTATAAGGATGAGAGACTGAGTGAGTCAGGTGGAAATCTGCCAGGAAGACCCAAGAGATCAATAATGGGAAGGAACTAAGGCCAGAGAACCAAGGATGCGACCCAGGTTGACATGCAAACCCAGGACGGTGTTAGACGACAGCGAGTGAGGGCCAGGACAGCTAACTGGAACAGCTTTGGGATAGCGTGCGAGAGCATATTAAAATGACGTGGGTCTGGAGCACCAAGAGTGTGTGTGAAGTGCCTGGTACATCTGGCAAACAGCAAATGGACTAGCGTTGTGTGCTGCAGAGTTCACCAATAGAATGAGGTTGTGAGAGAGAATGTCAGTCCGTCATCCCCTCGTCTTGTGTGTATTAGTTGTGTTTTGCTGCTGTAATAAGTTAACCACAAACTTAGAGGCTTGAGTTTATTACCCCCAGTTCTGAGGTCTGAAGCCCAGGCTGACTCAGCTGGTCTCTCTGCTTCTCTTTTCACGAGGCCAGAACCAAGGACTCTTCTCTAGAGGCTCTGGGAATAAGCTGCTACCAGACTCCTTCAAGTTGTTGGCCAAATTCAGCTGCGCGCAGTGGAAGGGCTGAGGCCCCTGTTTCCTGGCTATCTGTCAGCCAGGGGTCTTCAGCTTCTACAGCCACCTGCATTTCTTGGCTCCTCGCCCCCTTGCTCCATCTTCAATGCCAGCAATAGTGGATCAAGTACCCCTCCTGCTTTGAATCTCTTTTATTGCCACTTCTGCCTCATCTCTCCTGCCTTCCTCTTCCTGTATCTCCTGACTGACTCTTCTGCCTTCCTCTTCTGCTTTCAAGAGATCATATGATTACATTGGGCTCAACTGGGTAATCCAGGATAATCTCCCTATTTTAAGGTGAGCTGGCTAGTAAATTGTTCCATCTGCAAAATCCCTCTGCAGCAGTGCCTAGATTCGGGTTTGAGTGATTCTGGAGGGGTGGGAATCTTGGGGGGGGCATCTTTGGAATTCTGCCTATCACATTCTGTTAATACGTTTATATGCACCCAGATCTGGGTGAGTTTTAGGCAATGCCAATTATCAGCCTCGATGCCTGATACTTACTGAAACCTCTGACTATTGTTGGGGACATTTGTCCCTCTTTGTCTTCCAGGCTACTGATTATCTCAGACCTGTCCTCCAATCTCTGTCCTCTCTCCAGAGGTTCTCTCTCTGGCCTTCCTCATTTTCTTGCTGTCTGTCCGTCAGCTCTGCCTTCATTATTCAACTGAGTGGAGCATTTTTTTGCTGCTTTGTCTTCTGAAAAGCTTTCAGCCGATTCCCCTGAGCCTTGGACACCACATGAAGCTCTGATGACTCTCTAGGAAGCTCTAGGAAATCTCAGGACTGGGAATCCTGTTTTCATGTCTTTTGTAATCTTAAGAGACCCCTTGAGACTATTTCTTGCCCTTTTTTCCTTACCAACATATGTAATAACTTCAATTCCTTTAACAACTAGGAAGGAAAAAACTCAGCTAACTAAATTAGTAATAGATTTGTTCATAATCTCAACTATTTTAGGCCCTGTGAACCTGTAATTCACAATCCCCAGGTTTAGGACAATCATTCCCACAATTTATTGTGCATTAGGACCTTGCTGAAAATACATCTTGCTGGGCCCACACCAAAGGGTCGAGAAATCTGGAGTCAGATGCCAGGAAATCTGCATTCAACTAGGATCCCAGGAAAGAGTTGAGACGTGTCCAGATTCACACAGCTACTAAGTGGCAGAAGGACTTAAGCTGAAGTCCAGGTCGCAGACTGTCAGTCTTTCCTAGTCACAGAGTGTGTGGAAGTGTGCAGGTTGATAAAGACTAAGGCTTCTCCAAGGACTCCTTGCCAGTGAGTCCCCCACTGTGCTATCCCTGGGCACTCATCAGGGACACACTGCTTCTCCACACTCTAAGATATCCATGCCTTCAACACTATGACCCTGATGTTGGTGGTCAATGTACCGTCTGCCCTACCTTCCCTTTCCTGTACATCCACTAGTCTTCAGTGCCCCCATTATACCCTGGTGGTACCTAGAGCAAGCTGAAGGAGATCCTGTATTGCTGTATCTCAATTAATGAATGAGATTGAACCCTTTATTCAATTCAAGAGAAAGAGAATGAACATTGATCAAGTGAGACCTGCGCACACATGGTTGGCTCTCGAGGAGCTAGAGGAGTGTCTAGCTCCTGTTGACTCGGTACAGCATGCTGAAAAGTAAGACACTTTGCAGATGATGTATCATTTAACCTTCACACAAATGCTTTGAGAATTATCATTCCTATTTTACAAATGAAAGACATTGAGGCTCAGAGAGGTTAGAAAACTCACACTGTCATGCAGCCAGTTAGGGAGAATGTCCAGGTTTAAACCAGGTATCTTACTCCAAAGCTCACCTACACTTCTCTTCCAAGCTCAAAAATGCCAACATTTACATAAACATTCTATAACACTATCTAGGATGTTGAAATTATCAATTGCAGTTCACATCTCTTTGGCCACCATATGCAGCTTTCACACGTCTCTAAATATTAATTCTAAGTGCTTTCTCTTATAGTTTTCCTCATTACACAGTAGTCAAAATAAATAAAATGTGCTTACCATTGCGAGTCTCCCATGGGACTTCCCCGCACATTTCACTCTCTTGCCCAAACATTCAAAATAGGCACATGCACTTCTGTAAACACACTCCTTCCACTTATGTTTCTTTCCCACTTCCTCTTATTAATGGAGCCATTCAGCCTTCAGCCAGAGGTATCGGCTCATCTGGCCTATCCCAGCTTTCTCACTGTTTACCAAGCCACACCTCCCCCAGGATATCCCTGGCGCTCCCAGGGCACTGCAGCCACCTCCCTACTGCGAGCTCTCTGAGGGCCCTCCATAGCTTCCTGAATGATTTCCATGCAGGCACTCCTTAGAATGGTCCATTTTGGGCTGACTGTCATTTGTCTTTTGCCGAGGCAGGGCTGAGGTGCCTGGTATTTGAGAGAGAATCAAAGGGACATCCTCATGCTCTTCCTTTCTAGTCTCTCTATCCGCACATCAGGTGAGATGTCAAGGAAGCAAGGACCCCAGATCATAGTAACTTCACACTTTAGAGAGAAATGTCTTTCATTGGGTCACATTTCAACTCTGTGGTCCTGGTGTTAGTGGTGAGGGAATGTTGGAAATGGCTATGGGTGAGCTGTGCTTTGCTGTTCCCTTTTAATAACTGAGTACGTTCCATAGAGTGATCCATGTAGTAAATCCCTTCTAGATTTCTTCTCAGGAATAATTTTCTCTCTCTTGAAGAATGAGTATGTTTTATTTGTCAGAAAAAAAAAAAGCTATGTCACTCATCGTGTCCCTTTTTGCCATCACTACCAGCAAGCTCAAGAGCTAAATTTCATGCTCGTTTACTTTATCTCATCCTCAGTTTCTGTAACTATCTTCTCTTTTCTCACCTATGATTTCTGAGTTCTGGAGGCACCAGAAATTTAGAGAAGTGTCCATGATATCTTTTTGCTTGAATATGAATACTTTTGGGAAGTTCTTATGAACATTTGCTGGGATTAAGGAAGCTAAATCTGGTGATATCACACAGCTTCTCCCTTCCGGGGTCTTCCTGACTGAGAAGCATATCAGAACCAGTTACATTGTCAATGTTACTACGCAGAGCACTGGGCTTGCTAATAAATGAATAGGAGAATGCATCTTATATACAAAGTCGAAATCCTCCCCCACCCCCAATCACAGTTTATCCAGAGCCAGTCTTCAGGATCCACCTATGGGATGTGGGTCTGCCAGACAGATACATACCCAGCCACACAGAGCATCGTAGCCTCATTCCCATCTAATCGATGACCAGGAAGAGGAAGCCAGAGGTAGCCTGCCTCCTGGACTGGCTCTGGAAGAGAGCCCTGAGCCATAGTCCAGTCAGCTTCCCCAAGAGATCAGCTGCAATGATGCTGTTGAGGCCAGGCTGGTACAGAAGAGAGAGAGCCCATTCATGACTAGTGACCTTTACCACGGACCACCACATGGCACGGTGCTGGTTGCTCACATAAGATATTCGGCTGAGGGTGCCATATGACAGGGCTGAAATCCTATTCACTCTGCTCCTTTTTGTGGTTCATTCTTCCAGATGGGGTGCCTTTTGCATTTAGTCCGCCTGCAGGGAGCACCTTTTTCTAATCCACACAAAGTCACCCTATGAGCTACAGGAACACTCCTGCTACCCCAATCTCATATAAGCCACTCTTCTGATGAGGAAGGGTAAGTGTGGAGGTTGGGGACAGTGCTTGGGAGCATGAAGTGAGCAACTGAAAGTGATAACCCAGTGTTCTCTCTTGGAACGTGGAGGAAATGTCTCCTCCCTTTATAAATACATGAGGAGCCAAGGTGGTAAATTTTGTCTGCCTATAATTGTATAATCTGGCAGAGAAGACAAGGTGTTAGGAAGAAGGTAGTGTACAAAGGGAAAAAGGAGCATTGAATTGTCACCAATTCACCCAGTCAACAAGTGTTAACTTAGTGCTTGGCACAGTGCTAGGCATTGGAGATACTGTGGTGAACAACACAATTCTGTCAAAACACCTAGTTCTGGTTCCACTCTCTGTGTTCCCTGAGGCACAGTGTGAAGTGAACTTCTATAACGTCAGCGTTGTCCGTGCTCTGTCCTAGTTCCGGCATTCAAACTATATGTTAGGTCTCGGGGGAACTTTCTGAGGGATGTTTCTTCACAGAGTTATTGGCTTGCAAAGATGCAGCCCCAGAGTTCCTCTCCAAACCTTCCATGCTCCTGTGTGTGAAAATCATAGCCGTTGTTCTCACCTACTTGCCTAATTATTTGCCAAGAAAAACTATGAGCAGGTGGCTCTACTGAATTCAGGAATCTCCCCATCACAGACTCAGATGAGTGACCAGGATGCTCAATGAGGAAGGCAAGTGCAGACACAGGAGGACTGAGCAGGGCGAGCCCAGGAAGAAGCGTGTAAGACGGCAAAGACACTTCTGCTCTGAAATGAGGGCAATGCGGGAGAATGTTTAATGCAAATTTGCATTGAGAATAGTCATTAGCTCCACTGTGGAGAGGAGCATCATTAGAAACAGAGATTTGCTCAGGGGCTATTTCTGCAATCAGGAAGGACATATGGTGACCTGGATTAAGGACGTGAGAGACAGTGAGGATGGATTCAAGGAAGATTTGGGAGATAATGTCCCAGACTTGGAGACTGGTTAGATATGGGAAGGGAGGGAAGTGTCAGGGAAGAGTGCTCCTAGGTTTCTGGTTTGGGCAATGGAATGGAGTCTGTGCCCTGCAACAGGCCAGCGCTGGCCCCTTAGTCATCAGGGGTGGAACCTGGAAAGAGTAATAAATGGAGCTGAGAGATGAAGGAAAGGGGTCTGGGGAGACCTCAGCTCCCCTATTTAATACAGGGTGCATGTTGCCACCTCATTGAACTCAAGACCATGTTCACTGAAGATCCTGAGAAAATGTATGTTATGGTAATTAATTTTGTAATGTGAAAATATAAAGCGACCTCTGGTCTTGATGCCCACAAGCTTCAGATTAGGCTTGAAGAAACCAGCATTTCTTCACACTCTAGAAATGCCTCCAGAGAACACCTTAATGAATGGGAAATGTGAGAGAAGGAATGTGATTCAAGCTATCTTGGAGGCATCAAAAGCCAGCCTCTTGTTCAGCTCTGCAATCTCTCAGAGTTTGACACACTCCATATAAGCATGTGGTTCCGATTGACTTTAATGGGATTCCCTTGCAAATTACAGATTCTAAATTATCCTCTAGTAGGTATAACATTTTTAGGAGACATATTATTTTACCCTGAATACACCCTGGATGCTGTTACACTGAATTCTGACGGTAGCAGAACTCAGAATAAGATCATCTTTTACTAGAATGCCATTGCTGCATATTAATTTTGGTAAACCAAAGATGTTTATAATAAAAGAACATTTCTTTAAAGAAGGAAGATAGTTATTTCCATGCTAAGAAATATCAAACACACTCTTCCTGTGGTATGTGTTGGGTCTGTTTTGTTGAATCCAAGGCAAGGCATTTCTTTGGCAGAAGGGAGAGTTTCTCCCAGGCCTGGAGATTAAACAATTTAGTAGTCATTTCACGTGCAGCTCACAAAAAGGGGATTTGCATATGAACTTGTTTCAGCCAGAAAACACATCTTGACGTGTTTCATGGGAACTCTCTCCATCCCCAGCAGCTCCTTTTGGCCATCTCCTTCTTTTCTTTTCTTCGTCCCTGCAGGTCACCGGATTGAAACTGTCTCAGGACCTCGATGATCTTGCCATTCTCTACCTGGCCACAGTTCAAGCCATTGCTGTAAGACACTTTAATGCCCCTTTTAAAGAGACTTAAGGCATCAATAAACTTTAGACCACATAGTCTCCAAGATACACCATATGCTTTTGAGACAGAAATTCTTAATTAAAAGGGAACTTGCCAAAAAGAGATGCTTGTCTGTCCGGAAGGAAATCTTGATGAAGGTTTTCACCTGCTTTGCGAATAGGCTCACATACCTGAAAGCTGAAAGGACTTTAAGTCTTTAGACATCATTCTTGTTATTAATCTAATTTGTCTTCTCAGATCAATTAAATAGAAGCAAGTAAATGCCATATATACTTTCATTAAGAAAAGCTAGTATTAAGAATTTCCAGATTTATAAAATACATGATATTGTTCACTTTGCAAAAGGATTCATTGTAGGCTTCCTTTAAATGGTAACTTCCTTAGAACATGAAATTGTTTTTAGATAATTAGCTGCTTAAATGACAGGTTTGGATGGTTAGGGAGGCAGAAAGGGGAAAATTTAAATCTAAAGTGTTAGGAACTCCTAAACTGAAGATTGATAAAAAAAGAAAACCAAATCCTAGAAGCTCAGACATCATTGTCTAAGGAAGCTTATTCTCCCGAGATGATCCGTGAGTGGCTAGAAGAGGGTTCCAAAGCCTGGGCCACGCACGGAAGACTGTGTGCGCGCATTTGGGAGTGTAGTGTGGTGGGTGGTCATGGCTTTCAGGGGCTCAGAGCTGGTGGGAACCCCAAAATAACAGTTCATTCAGTGAGGCTTAGCCACTCTGGAAAGAAAATAGGGACCAATAGAAAGGAAAAAGTCAGTTCACTAAATTCTGATTCAATATTTATTTTTCAGAAACATACCTATTTGTTTATTAATGCTATATGGATATATTTATATACCGGTCAATTATTTATTCTATTTCTCCACATACTGCCTTCAAAAACCTCATTGCTTCCAATAACAGAACTACATGCGTTTTTTTCCCAATATATTCACATCACCAACAAAAGTGCTTTTCTTATGTTCAGGTTTGTCCGGGTGCCACACCCACATGATAGGAGAGCAGAGCTCTCTATCTCTCTGCCCCTCCAGGGCAGCTGCGTGGAGTCTGGAGTCGGCCCTGATTAAATAGTTCTCTAGTGTACAGGCCAGTGCGACTGCATCTTCCTGAGGCCATTTGTCGTATAGATTGAATAGCTTGGCCAGTTCAGTGAAATCAGTCAGCCTGCTATGTTCTTAGGAACTTGGTCAAAAACAGGCAGTTGTGACCTCTGTCAAAATGGAGGGAGTGCCTAATAAGATGAAAATAGAGAACAAAAATGTACGTCAGTAGTAAAGACAGTTATTTACTGAGCCTGTTGTACGGTAATGATGATAAATAATATAGTTTTGGGGTATTATTTGCCAAGAACGGTGCTAGATATTTAACACACATTATCTGCCTTAGCCTGGTGAGGGAGGTGCTGCCATACCCATCCCGCAGCCTGGAAACCCGAGCCTCAGTGAGTTCAGTGAACTGGCTCAGTTTCGTGCAGCCGGTAAATGGCAGAGCTGGGGTTTGAACCTAAGCTGTCCAAAATAAAAGTAGCTATATGATGTATTGGGGAACTTTGATTTTCTGATTTGTTAACTTCATTGTATGAACAGTCTTATAGTGGAATGAATTGCTTGCACCGAAGTGAATAATCCTGGAAAATCAGAGCTGTGTGATGCTCATCCTTCTGAGTCCACGCTGAGGGGTGGACATGAAGAACGAGACCACACAGGATGAACCAAGGGGCACCATCACGTGATACTGTCACCTCTCATGGACACCCACTCTGTGCAGGCACCAAAAAGAGTGCCTTACCCAAGTGGCTTAGCACAGTCACCCTGCAAGTCGGTGTGAGTGTCCTCATTGTACAGACAGGGAACACGGCTCGCGGAGTCATGCAGCTAGGGCAGGTGGGATCAGAGTTTGAACCTCTGCCCCTCCTGTTCGCAGGCTGCTGCTCTTTCTGCTTGATGAGGCTGCATTTTCTTTGGCCTATTTGTAGAAGCCACGTGCAGGAAGTCAGCTTCCAGGCGTTCCCAAGCACAGCTCTGACTTGACACACCTTAGGAAACACTGTCAAAGTGGGGTTGTCTCACAGAGGTCCCCTCCCTGGTGAGAACGCTGCAGCAGAAGTCCAAGCACGTAGAGATGAGGTTAAACTTCGTGCAGGCTGGGGGGGGGGGGGGGGGGCAGCTACGTTCTCCCAAATACCACACGCTTTCATGTGGTGTGTGTACATATATTAAAAGCCATCATATTTATTCTGTTCATTGTCTTAATGAGCTTTATAATGCCACAAAGGGAAGGCAATTTAAGGCAGATTTTTTTAATAGGGCTTTATTGTGGAGTCAGTTGAATTGTGAGGAGTTTGGTCTGTTTTCAAAAGTATCTGCGTGTGTTGATCTTTTAGGCAAAAATGTGCATTTTAATGAAGCATTGTGATAACAAATATTTTCCC